GGGATAAGGTCCTGTTTTAACTCCCATTATGGAGGAGTAGTGTTGGAACTTATACTCACAGTTGTGTGCATATCTACTGAAAAGTAGAATTACCATAAGTTATGATGATTGCATATTACTTCCAATATCAAAGCAGTAAACTTTTTAGTAACATTTTGTGAGGAACACAAGCAGGAAAGTGTTCTTGCCTTCATAATCTGCGTCTGGGTACAAGTTAACTAGCAAAGAAAGTGGGATGATGGTCACATTGGGAGTCAAGGCTCTTTTGGACTCTTGGACCAGCTCTTAAACACATTTCTGGAATGAGCTTCATGTATTCCAAGTAGACTGGCATGTATTTAGTCCTAATATTTTTTTATACTGGTTTTAAACCACTTCATTGTATGTGTTGCAATAGCAGATTCCCAGATTCGTTTAATGTTTGCACCTTATTTTAATTTTCTGGTTATTTAATATTTAATGCTTATTTTACTTAAGTAATATTAATCTTTACTGTTCTAATGTAGCACAAATCCTATGTAAAATCATACTACGTATTTTTGACATTAATATTGACATTGTTGTGTTTTTAGTAACCCTGTTTTCCAGATTGGAAGAAGAGTGATATAAAAGATTAGCACATATACTGGCAAGCACATACTGAAGACTTTAATATATTATGGTTTTCTATCATGTACAGTGCCGAAGCTCTTAGCAGTACATAAATGTTAAAGATATGATCTGTTTTTAAACAAGTTCCCACAAATAAATGTAAATGGGCATATCCAGCTAGCAGACCTTCCGCATTTCATAAGAACCCACTCCAATGCATATCCATTTTCAGAATGAGGCAGTTGCATTGTAAACTATTAATTTTTCATTGTGTCTAATAAATAGCAAGAGGGAGAAACACAACTATAAGAATGGATTTTCAATGAGAGAGGCATAATGTGTGCATTGTTATCTATTAGATTGCACAGAAATCTATCTGAAATCTGGTTCAAGGTTCTAAAATTATATCTTAAAGTATTCAATTTGGCTACAGGAGCATTTTCCTCCTTTTGTTGCCTTGCCTAAGGACACAAAGAAATAAAATACCTCAAGTTATTATCATTTTATGGGCACTTCCATCTCTGAGTAAGGATTACACAGTATTATGTATTTCTGAGTGGTTTGACTCAAGTGTATTACCAGTCAACAACTCATTCTTTTTTCATTTTAAAGCAGTGACTCTTCTTTTATGACTACTATTCTTGTGAGTATGTGTGTGTGGCAGTCCACAAGTTGAAAAAAATAACTTGTGGAAACAAGGATTGGTGAGAAAGCTTCAGCAGAGACACCTTTCCCCCCATGATAATAACTCTTATCAGGAGTTAATTTCCCTTCAGAGGGGGTACATTTTTCTCACTTCCTGCTGTCTCACCTCTGTTCTTTACTATGAGTAGTTTGTAAGTCGGATGTAACTCAGGAACTGCCTGTATAGGCAAAAGCTGTATGATTTGTTGAATATGTGTGTTTGTTCATTTAAGTAGAAGGAGGAATGAATGTCATGTACTGGAACTGGTAAATGTTACCCCAAAAGGCAAGTCACTTACCACTCAGTGGCAAAACTTGAAAAAGTTATTTTATATTACAGCTCACCAAATCTCCTGCCATTGTGGCCAGTGTCTATGCACATACTAACTGGGGAGTTGTCATCCAAAATGTAGGTTTGTTTGGTTGTTGTTTTTTCAAATCCTAGCAGTTAGATTTTTTAAAGGGAAAACAAGTTTTAAAATTTTGAGTATTTATGGCAAATAAATAAATGTCCATTTAATGGGCACCAAGTCACAGGCCACTCCAAATATAATTTATGAAAATTAATAAATGGATACTAAATATGTGATATAGGAAGTTGCTTTAAATGAGATCAGTGAATTTGTCCATGACCAAGGCTTGTTCACACTTGATTCCACTTTAACCACATGGCCCATGTGGTCTCTTCCAACTCTATTCTTCTCATGACCTCATCAGACGGAGTATATTCAGTATCCTAGGAGGCTTTCACCCTGATTAGGGGGTGGAGCCCCATGTCAGACATCACACGATGTTGTGTGACATTCCAGTGGAGCCCCACCACCACCACCACCACCAAGCGGGTTGAAAGCATTGCTAGACACTTTCTCCCCAACGGAGGAGGCTTCCCATGTTGTACTGGCTCCAATGGAGCCAGCACAGGATGTTGATGGGAGAGCAACGCCTTCCCCATGTGATGGAGAAAGCGTCACGGAGAGGGAACAGACACACAACTATATTTGTGAAATTAGAAAAGCTCCATTATGCCACTATTGTTTTTGGATACTTGTGATAGCTACAGGGTTCCTAAAACTGTAGGCATGAAGAGTTCCCACCTTCCCACATAGATTGCTAAAGCTGGGATTTGACCCATTCCTGATCCACAGATAATGGCACTCATGCAGTGATCTGGAATCACGCATGCTTTCCTAATTGAGGTGGGTGGGCTGTCTTCAATTTCTTTTTATATATATATAACAATCAATTTAAGAAATCTCCAACATGCAAAGTAGCTTAGAGTAATCAATTAGAATGGGATGATAATGGAAGTAATTCAGTAAAACATCATTAATGCTGATGTGGCAAACTACCGGTCACCATCTGTCTAATCCTGGCTGCATAGTCAGAGAATGTTTTTAAACACAATTATTAATAGTGCTCATTAACTTCTCCACAAAATGAACATGCCATGTTTCCAAATATTTATGAGGAGTTGGGTGAGAAATTGATGTTTTTCTCCTATTCATCTTTGCTTTCTTTAAGTCAATGCTACATTAATAATACTATATTTGCTGTGGTGTTGCTCAGACTATAGGGCATGTACTCCTCTTTACTTTTTCTGTTCATTTCCTTAGCTGCTATTTTTTTTTCAAGCCTATGGCAGTGATTGATTTGGTGAAAATGATTGCAATCACAAGGTGCCATTTTTGGTAATGTGCATAATAGTTTTTCAGCTCTGGTCCTTCAGGTATTTTGGACTTCAACTCCCAGAAGCATCAACCACTGATGTAGGACTACAACTAAATCATCCTTCAGTGCTGGCTGTTATGGTTAGGACTGATAGGAGTTACAATACATTCTCTTCAAGGAGGCTACATATCCCAACCCATGAATGACAAGAAAGGGAAGATGTATCAATAATATATCACACAGTGAAGTCAGTTCACACATTCTGCTGTCATTAAGCAGGCTGTGACCAATGAAATATTTGCAAGTGTGAATTATTCCCAGTTGTTGGCTAATCAAATAATGTGAGGGTTCAGAAGTTCCATACACCTACAAAGGCTCATTCAGACAGAGAGAGACAGAGAGAGAGAAACAGACACATTCAGAAGATGGGATGAGATGTTCAGGTATCCTACAAGCCCCAGGGATCAGAAGATCACTATGAGAAACAGAAAGGTTGAGAGTGTGGCTCATCCATTTTTGAAGCATCAAGCAGTGTCTTCCTGTGGCATCAAAGTGTTAAAGGAAATATAAATATTGCAAAGAGCTGTTCAAAGAACATTGTCACATACATAGAGGTGCCAGTGCTTGATCTCATTGAAAGCATAACGATGCGAAAATTGTCAGCATTATGTTCAACAGTATTTTGTCTGATTGCAAATGGGTTGTGGACTTTATTTATGAAAATACGTATAGCTCATGAATAAGTTCATGAAAGGGGAAAAATAATGAATATGGTATTTGCCAACTTCCCATCACAACCCCCCATATATCTGCTTCTGGCCGTAGTGTACACGCACATATAATTAGTGTGTGTTTGGTTTGTGTCTCTGGATATCAACTTTTCATTATTTTTGTTTATCGGTACCTCTGCTCTGCAACCTGATTCCTCTGGTTTACAAATCCCCCTTTCCAGGGAAGCACAAAAACATAGTTTTCTATTTCAAATTCTTTGGGCCCTTCCAGACTCATTCTTAATGACAACCATGGTTTGGCATTCCACCATAATTGAGTCATAGTTTATCAAGTGAATGGATATAACATGCTTTGGAAGGGTCCCTTACATTTTGTTCCCACCATATAAATTATTACTTTGTTTAAAGATGAGAATGAACACTGCTGTCTCAAACAGTGCTGAATACTAGGAAACAAATATGGAAATTCCGTACAGATGGAATGCTTCATATGTTGTGCGTGGGACTTTCATTAAACAGTTAATGGCTTCCACACAAAGAAGGGGCTCGTGTGTAAGGTTTCAAAGTAAGTTATACTAAAAGATAAAGGTTTTTCCCTGACATGAAGTCCAGTCATGTCCGACTCTGGGGGTTGGTGCTCATCTCCATTTCTAAGCCAAAGAGCTGGCATTTTCCATAGATGCCTCCAAGGTCATGTGGTCGGCATGACTGCATGGAGCACCATCACCTTCCCACCAGAGTGGTACTTATTTATCTACTCACATTTGCATGTTTCAAACTGCTAGGTTGGCAGAAGCTGGGGCTAACAGCAGGAGCCCATGCTGTTCCCCATATTTGAACCTGTGACCTTTCAGTTAGCAAGTTCAGCAGCTCAGAGGTTTAACCCAGTGTACCATCAGGGGCTCCAAAGCAAGTTATAAAGGGATGCAAAGGAATGTTGATTGGAAATATTCAGAAGCCATGAGGAAATCACTGTTTTATGGTTCCCTAAATGTAGCTGGCACTTCACAGTTTGATATAAGAAGAAAAGACAGTGTTCCTGGCCCCTAGAAGCTTGCACTCTAAAATTTGCAAGTGGTAAAGACAAGAGAAGAAATGAAGTGGTGGAGATGTAAGAAGATAGATGGAGTAAGTGTAAGGCAGAAGTGAAGAGAGAAGAATACCAAGGGATGAATTAAACCAATGCAGTACTGTAACTTGCTGTAGACAGGATGAGTGTAAATTGTTGCCAAATAAATATTTCATCTACTTTACACAAAAGAAGAATCCTAAAGAAAAGCTCACATTTCATGAGCCTATGTTTTGTGTCATTTTTTCTTGTTACAGAAAAAGTAAGCATTTTGTCAACGTTCATCGCACCCTTCAAGTATTTAAGTCCCGGGGCAGCAAATATGGAAGATGAAGACAATTTAAGTAAGTAGTTTATCTTCTTCATATGGAAATCAACATCAGAGCATATATGAATTGTCATACAGTACAAGTATGTGGCTAACACTGATCAAGATAAATCTCATTATTTGCCTTGTACAGAGTACGTGATAACAACCCTGCAATCCTCCTGCCTACAAACTCCTTAGTCATACTGTTTCGTGGATTCCAGGAACTGTAGTCCCAAAATATAACTTTTCCTGAGGTTTCAGAACCAAACAGAGAACCATATTTTTGTCCAGCAGAAAGCTAGGATTAAGAATTTCACATTGTTATGCAAGTGCTTGTGTTCACATTGATGGCACATTTATTCCCAGGCAGCATAGGGTCACACAGTGGAATATGTACAGATGAGCCACAGTCTCACTCAGTCTTATGCATCTACTCTGGGCAGTTAATGTGCAAGCTTGCATTGCATACACTGGAAAGATTCACAAGTTGGAGGGAAAGGAAGCACATCACATCCATACCCCATTCTCCCTTACAGGTTTGTTGCATAATTGTGTATTCTGCAAATGACTTGGGGGCCACAAAGCTGATATGAACTGTACAAGATGAAAGAAAAATAGAATAATTAAAAGAAAGTGGCACCAGGTGGTGAGCATGTGGTGTATTATCATACTTGTCAGCCCAAACATTAATTTTTTAGCATCATCTTATCTACATGATGTAACCTGTTGTTGAATTTTGAAAAATAGGAAGGATGTGCCTTTGTTTATTTTAGCATCAGCTACCAGATGGTTCCCTTTCTAGGTGGAAAGCAGAAATAGTGTCTCCCTAGAAATCGTGGGTGGGGAAAGTAAATTTGTTTCTCTGATGTTAGCAGTCCAAGTTGGTATTCTGCTATTCCTACACACTTAGTATTTGCTGTCTTTCTGTGACTGTGGCCTGATTCCTATCCCATTAAAAAGGACCCAATAACTCAACTGTTAAATGGAGAGTCTATGCTAGTTTATATTCTGTTGATTCAGTGGGTCTACTCTGTGTGCCTAAGGCTATTTCCTGGCCAGTAGTTCTTTTGAGCATGCAGGGGTGACATGGCAAAATCCTGTTAAAGTGGGGGGATTCCTATCCGGTCCTGAAATGATCCCTTGGTGCACTGCTGTAGAGTGGGAGGGTTGGCCAATGTTCACTGCTCAAATGCTGGAGCTTAGAGGGGTGGATGCCTTAAATGTAGTTCTCTGCCCCCAGAAGTCTTTATACATTGGGGTGGGCATGTTGCCCTCCCCCTCTAGACATGCCTGGAAGAGGAAAACCAAATACGTAAGTGATCCACAGCAAAAGATATAACCTCATAAGAAAAAGGGAGAGAGAGAAACTGGCCAGCTTTGCTGTTATCATTGCCATTGGGTGGAAGCCCAGTCCTGTCAACAAGCATGAGCTTCCCAGATTGCTTTTCCAGTGGAATTCACTGTTTCCAAGTATGTCAGAAAGTGATGGAGGTGCAACCTTTCCTGCCATCTGTACTCAATGCGGTGCAGATGGGCAGCAGCACATAGCATGTTCTGTGTGAGAAGGGCAAAGAAAAAATTGTCAGAGTATCAGTGGCAGGAAATGAAGGGTCTCCATTTGCAGTGCTGAATATACATGTGTCAGTCTTACCAAGACTGCCTGCATTATGTTTTCAATCCAAATGATTACAAGAAGTTTTGAATGTTGACCCTAAAGTCAACTCCAACTTCAGTTTTTTCAATCTCATCCATTTAGGACCAAAACTTCTTCTTTATCTTACAATCGAAAGAAATAAAAGAATTGGCTGTCATCCACATACTGATGGAACCAAACTCCAAACAACTTCTCCCATTGGTTTCAAGTATATACTAAATAGCATGGGGACAGAACCAAGCCCTAAGGCCAAAAGCTCAAAAAAAGTCAAGTTGACCCCTCCAGGAAGGAAGAAATGCCATTGACTCCATCCCAACCAGGCAATACAGAAGGATAACATGATCAATGGTATTGAAAATCATCAAAAAGTCCAGCAGATCCAACGAGGACATGCTCTCCTTACCTGCTTCCCAGCAGAGGTCATTGGCCTGGATGACTAAAGAAAACCAGATGGAAATGGAGACTGATAACCAGACTCATCCAAAAGCCCTGGGAGTTCAGATGCCACCACCATATTAGAGATTGGTCAATAATTTTCCAAAATGGTCAGATCCAAGCAGGGCTTGTTAGTAATGTTTTTATGATGCCCCCTTCATCGCAGGCGTGACTTGTGGGGACGAGAGAGAGGGCTTTCTCTGTGGTGGCCCCTCGGTTCTGGAATTCACTCCCCAGAGATATTGGGCAAGCCCCCACCCTGGAAATCTTTAGGGGGAGCCTGAAAACTTGGCTATTCCAATGTGCCTTCAATGACTGAATGTAGAATAATCCCTGACCAAACTCTGCATAAAATGTCCTCAGAAGCACTTTATTCTCTGGTTTGTGCAATGAACTCTTCCCTTGTCCCCCAGATTCCCTTCCTGATATTTTACACTGCCCTATCTCCCAGTGTTTTGAAATTTTAATCTTTGAACTGGCTCTACCCATTGTGTTTATTTTTAGTGATTTAATGTTTTGATTTTATATTGTGCTGTATATTTACATTTAGTATTTTTGTATTTTATTTTATTTTATTTTCTGATTTTCTGTTGTGTTTTTGTGTTATATTGTGTTTCTGTATTGATGGGCATAGCCTCATGTAAGCCACCCCGAGTCCCCTTTGGGGAGATGGTGGCAGGGTATAAATAAAGTTGATTATTATTATTATTTATTATTATTATTATTATTATTATTATTATTATTATTATTATTATTATTATTAAACTTTGCCTTGTTGTAGTGAGCCATTAACACTCACTTTATTCACTCAGCCAATCCCGCTCTAGCTTTTTAATAAGACAAGAAGAACAATGACACATGTGATGGCTCCATCTCACCAGAAATCATGCTACATGCTCAGATTGCACAAATCAAAAGTAACAATTTTCAATGGACAAGCAGTTACATCCACTGGGTCTGTATCAATAAAGCATTCAAGTCAGAGCAGATCTAAGTGATTTTATCTGCAAAGTACTGAGCAAGTTGTTCATAATGGGCTGTTGGGTCCTTTGGATTTTCTTCTATTCGACCTATGTATAAAAGGTCCCTGATGACTCAAAACAGCTTGGCCAGCAAGCTCTTACATTTTCCCAACTTTCATTGCAAGTATTTAAGTCCCAGGGCAACAAATATGGAAGATGAAGAGAATTTAAGAAAGTAATTTCTCTTCTTCATATGGAAATCAATAGCAGAGCAAATATGAAATACCGGTATCATACAGTATGGATACAACTCCCTTGATTGTTTGCTTTGAGACACAGTAGTTAAAGTGGTGTCAAATGCATCAATTTTTGATGGTGGTCTATCCATGATAATAGAACTATAGATAGTTCCTCCACTGCCAAATCACATTCACCCAACCCACTGTAGGAAACGTAGAATCATAGAATCAAAGAGTTGGAAGAGACCTCATGGGCCATCCAGTCCAACCCCCTGCCAAGAAGCAGGAATATTGCATTCAAATCACCCCTGACAGATGACCATCCAGCCTCTGTTTAAAAGCTTCCAAAGAAGGAGCCCCCACCACACTCCGGGGCAGAGAGTTCCACTGCTGAACAGCTCTCACAGTCAGGAAGTTCTTCCTCATGTTCAGATGGAATCTCCTTTCTTGTAGTTTGAAGCCATTGTTTCGTGTGCTAGTCTCCAGGGAAGCAGAAAACAAGCTTGCTCCCTCCTCCCTGTTACTTCCTCTCACATATTTATACATGGCTATCATATCTCCTCTCAGCCTTCTCTTCTTCAGGCTAAACATTCCCAGGCTAAACGTGGTCCAGAGTATGCCCAGTAGTATGATGAACAGTAGATACCACTTGAGACATAGCCATGGTTGTTATGGCAAACATGAGGTGCCCTTAACATGACAATCTCAGAATGAATGTTGAAATCCCCCGGCACTATAAGATGAGAAGATACCAGCAGCAACCCTGAGACTACCCAGCTTTCTCAGGAAAGAAGAATGTTGAGCAGCTTGGTTGATGATACACCAATAAAATCCCTAATGTCACCCAGTCTCCCACTTTAGGTAACTACATCCAAATTTAGAACATTGTTGTCATGGATTCTAGATTCAACACATCAGTCTAGTGACAGGAGCTCACCAGCTGAAATTAACATTTCATTCATGCAATTATGGACTCCAGTTCACAATGTTTATAGTACAAAAAGGGATGCAATTCTATAGTAGCCATGGCACACTTATTTCTCATCAGACATATGTATGTTTGTGTGGAAATATTTATCTTTAATCGTCCTCTTCATAGTTAAGAGAGTCGCTGACTGAAATGTGTTATTTACAGAAACTTATTAATAAGAGATTGAAAGCCATTGGTTTTCTCTCCATTGTCCAAAGTTCAAGCTGCGTAGCAGCATAATAACCTTCAAGAGGAACAATATTATTGCTTCAAATGTAGCGTGGAGTGTCGGATGGCTAGTTCTTCTGGACCCGTATGACCCAGAGACAAAGGCACTGTCATTATTAGTGATGCATTATAGTTTTCAATAGCTTTTCATGATGCAAGTGCTCCAGGTTAACACTTCCATGCATAATAAGAAAGGAGAGGGATGAAAGATGAATAAGAGGGAAAAGGAGAAAGAAATCTGTAGGAGGGATCTTGAAGGAATATTCACACATTTCAAAAGATATACATTTCATTATGTTTTGAGAAATGCATTTCATCATTCGGTCTGTTATCTGAAGCTGTGGCCTCCTCCACTTAGCAGTAGGCTGTCTCTGTCCAGTTGTCGGCCTCCTGAATTAGTTTTCTGTTTATAGGAAGCAGCCATATTATTAACATTATCATAATAAAGGACTAAATTGAAATGCTTGTTCCAAGCAAACTAGTGAATGAATGAGATTTGCATGAGTTCTAACATATGGTTTAAAAGTTGGTTCAAGTGGTTTCTTCTTCTAGTTGTGATTAGCAATTGTAGACCTTCATTATTGTTATTAGTAGTAGTATGCAATAAATACACTTGATAGTTTTGCATTTATTTCTTTTTTAACTAAAACTCCTATATCTCCCCCCCCCCCCAAATCTGTGGATTCTGGGAGATTTAGTAAAAAAAAATGACTTTTTCAATCTAGGTTCCCTTTTCTGCCAGCTGGCTCTATGGAACTATTTGATTATGGAAGCAGTGCTAGGCAGTCTAACCACTCTTCTGTAATTTTAATACCACACGGTTTTTCAGGATGACAATAATATATTGGTGTTATGCAAGATTAAAAGGGCAGGGGCCTCATCCAGTCTTTAGTCTTCTCTGACAAATAGTACTGGTTCTTCACCAAACTACAGCTCCCATGATTTCATAGCATTTGAGTCAAGGCAGTTAAAGTGATGTCAAACTGCATTAAGTCTACAGTGTAGATGCACCTTTTGTACCTGTCCACAGATGGGAAATTCTGGCTCAGTTTTTTGGACTCAGTCCCATCTCTCACTGTTATCCTCTTTTCCTTGTATGTTTTTAGATTATAACCCTGAAAGGAGGATGAGCCCCTGGTGGCACAGTGGGTTAAACCCTTGTGCCAGCAGGATTGCTGACCAAAAGGTCAGTGGTTTGACTCTGGAGAGCAGGATGAGCTCCCATCTGTCAGCACCAGCTTCTCATATGAGGACATAAAAGAAGCCTCCCACAGGATGGTAAAACATCCAGGTGTCCCTTGGGCAATGTCCTTGCAGACAGCCACTTCTCTAACACCAGAAACTACTTGCAGTTTCTCAAGTCGCTCCTGACACACACAAAAACCCAGAAAGTAAAGACCTGTCAAATTAAGAATTGCAAACCACTCTTGGATAGGGCCATATACCCTAAATGCTATATATAAGTAAATCATAATATTAATAATAACCAAGGCTTCCAGAATCAGAGTAGGATTCATCTGAAAATCCTATCTGGGGGTAGATTCATACGCAGAAATATCATCCCTGAAAGACAAATGTCAGCCAGTGTTAAATAGTTAAGTCCAACTTTTTGAACTGATCCTATACAATTTTATATAACTAGAAACTGATGTGTGCAAGGCAGTCATCATTCTAAGAAATGCAGCAGATTGGTTTGTGCGTTCCTTTGCACATGTTCAATTCAACTTCTCTGTTGGTTTTAATGGCGCAATCTTTGAAATTGTCCATTGATGTACATGGCAGTAAAGTCAAAATGCAACCTTGATGGCAGCAAAAAAAATCCAATTGGGCCCAATGAAAACTTATAAAGCAACAATTTTATAGTCAGCACACCTGCCACTCAAAGCAGAAAACTGTATCTTCATCTTTAATATTTTAACCATTTATTCTTTCTATTTTCTATCCATTTTCTCCCCATGTTTTCATCCTCCCTGTGAGGCAATTTAACTAAAACCACAAAAGCTACCACAAACACAGGAGAAAATAAAATTTTGAGTTCATGAAAAACTTTTTAATGTTAATGTTTGGCACTCCTGCAACATACTTAAAAAAGAAAGTGATACTCCTGGAAATAAAAAAGGTGCCTTGAAAGGGGAGGACCAAGTGTTTACACAACCCTCTTCGTGTATTTTGTTGACCACCTCTGCTCCAACCAATAACCTGCACTGGCCCATTGAAGATTCATCCTTTTAAGAAAACTTTCCATTTGAAGTTTCAATTGAAATTGATTTAAAAATAACTCTTTTGCTTTAACCCTGGCTCTTAATTATTTGGTAACACCTTTTAATCGTTAGGCAAATGGTGTTAATTGTTTAAGTAAAATGATTACTCACCTAAGCATTGCAAAAAGCTACAGAATATGGTAGAAAACTGTGCCTGTTTCCCATGTCACAGCTATGTTGCATGGTTCTTGTCTACCAGAATACATGCCTGGAATAAATGTACCCAAAATGAGGTAGAAGCAACTGCTGAGCTCAAAGGTTATGTTTCAATCAACCCACAGCATGATGCTCATTCAAAAAAGCTTGGTTAAAATACAGTAAACAGCAAAATCAGACAAATCATTCCATAACTTGATAAAAAGTATGTAACCTAACATTATCTTCTATATAAACTGAGGCAAGGCCAGAAAGCACCTTGCAAATTTCAGAGAGAATTATTTACTTTAGGTTATCGGAGCTGGTTACTTTGTGTGTTGATGAAGCAACGCAGAGATGTAAAGCTGAATTTTCTGTGTTCACAAAGCCATGCAAGCAGTGTTATGAAAGTAAGGGGTGGGTGGGAATAGAGATTGGAAAAGGCAATATGAATTATAAATACAAATAACCCCCTGTGTTTTCTTATTCAGTGGTGCAGAATCAATACAAATTCTTTCCAAACCTGAATAGTGTGTGAAACAAGAGCTATCTTTCTCTCCATGCTGCCCGACTTCAATATCATTATGTATGATAATTGGGTCTGTGAAAACCTATTAGATGAAGAGAGGGTAGGGGTGAGCATTTCAGGACCGGCCTCATTTTCTTGTAGACAAATCTGTCTGGGAACATAGGTTGTGTTTGTTTTTTGTGTGTGTTTTTTTCTTTGTAAGTCTGTATAGAATGGAATAGATTGTCAATACTGCAAAGCTGTGACATGTTCAATAGGATTTTTCAAGGGTGTCAGTGTATTAAACGACATTTCCTATAATGATAAAGATAATTAGCAAGATTAAGGACAGGAGATTCAAAGGCAGTACGTTCAGAGTAAGTGTGGTGAGGTGGGCAGTATGTTAGCCTTCATTCATCATTATCTCAAATGACTGGTGTGTCATATTTATAAAGCATATGTAAAAATATAGAAAGGGCCCTTAAATGAAAACCAAAATCTACCTAGTCTAGACTAGTGGTCAATCAGATACCTATAGCAAATTCAAAACACGGCCTCTCACACTCTTTTCTCCCAGCAGTTGATGCTATGTTACATTTGACTTTAGCCAAAAGGCCAAGAAGTGATATGTAGGTGCACACCCTTGTTGTTATTTTTCATTGAGATAATTCTGTAGCTATCATAACATGGGGGTGCTTAAGTTTTTCTAACTGCCTTTTAAAGCCATCTGATGTAGAGGACTATACGTTATTTCTTTCCAGGAATCAGCACTGTATCAGTGCTGGAAACCTTCCAGGGACTGGCAGGCAGTTGCCAAGGGACTAGCACTTGTCCAAGGACCACCCTTTGAGAAGCACCAATCTAGATCACTGGCCATAATGTTGATCCTGTTATAGCAAATCCACAGTTTAGATATGTACTCTGTGACAAAGTACTTCCTTTGGTCTATCCTGGATTTCCCCCCATTAAACTTGAGTGAACAACTCTCAAGTATCATGAGAAAGAACATTATCTCTCTATCAGTTTCTCCAGAAAGATTCTTATTAGTCTTCTGGAGTTTTGCCAATTTGTTTTTGTTTTGTTTTGTTTTTTAAAAAAAACAATGAAGAGTGGAAATTATCAACATTAACGTTTTCATTAACGTTTTCATTTCACAAAATATTGATGAAATTTGTTTCTCCTGCTATTGAGTTTAGGTTTCACTACGGCATCAATAATAGTAGTGAGCTTTCATTTTTTTGTTCTTTTTCAAACAGGTACCAGCAGTGCAGAGGTGAAGGAGAACCGGAATATAGGCAATTTAGAAGATCATCCAATTACCTCTAATGAAAGGTCAAGGGTAGGAGCTTCCAGGATCAAAAGGAAACGGCCTCTGGAGGAAGGCAACAGTGGGCATTTCTGCAAACTCCAACTCATCTGGAAGAAAGTGTCGTGGTCAGTAACGCCAAAGAATGCTCTGGTTCAGCTTCATGAACTTAAACCAGGCTTACAATACAAAATGGTTTCCCAAACAGGCCCAGTCCATGCTCCAGTGTTTGCAGTTGCTGTGGAAGTAAATGGACTTACATTTGAAGGCACAGGACCAACAAAAAAGAAGGCCAAAATGAGAGCAGCAGAACTGGCCCTCAAGTCTTTCATTCAGTTCCCTAATGCATGCCAAGCTCACTTTGCCATGGGGAATTGTTTCAACCCTTCCACAGACTTTACATCAGATCAGGCAGACTTTCCAGACACTCTGTTCAAGGAGTTTGAACCGTCTACGCACAGTAAAGACTTCTCAGTCTATAACCCAGTTAATAATGAACTGCTTTCTACGGCTTACCGGCACGGAAGGCTATTCTGCCACACGTTGGACTTATCGAGCCATACTAAGCAAAACAAGCGTACCGCTGAGAGTGAAAAGAACCCAGTGGTGTTACTCAATGAGTTGCGTTCAGGACTGAGGTACGTCTGCCTTTCGGAGACTGTGGAGAAGCAGCACATCAAGAGTTTTGTGATGGCTGTGAGAGTGGATGGGAGAACATTTGAAGGCTCAGGACGTAGCAAGAAGCTGGCTAAAGGTCAAGCAGCACAGGCTGCACTGCAGGCCCTCTTTAACATTCGGCTGCCCAGTCGCATTCCCAGCAGGAGTAAATGTAATCATTTGCCACAGGTGAGAGCTTTAAGGTTGCCACCACCAAGCTAAAGGCATTTTTTTCAGATTAATGTGATTTGTTGTGTCTTAGCTGCAAACTGTGTCTTTATCAGAACACCCTCCTCCAGTATAGTGTACTACACTGCAGCAAAATCCATTTAATTACGAAAACCATACACAAAGTCCCTTGCAGATACTATACTTCCCTTATTTCATCACTAAGAGCCATTATATGGATTTTTGTCCTATAGAGGCAGCTGAGAATAAACATATAAAGAAAAGTTTGGCATCCACATGTATGCAAAGTGAATGCAGAGATGTCTAAGGGCCTCATCACATTGTGGCAAATCCTGTGGGGTCCAGCATGGGGAACCCATTGCTCTGTACCCTACATCGCTCACCTTGCCCCTCACTCCATCTCATTTCCTAAGGCTCCTGTGTTCCTGAAGCAGCCTCTTACTACACTTGGAGTTCAGTTGAAGCACGGAGACCCGTCGGAAGTAGATCGGAATCGTGTGATTGTAGCTGGCAACTGAAGTCCAAGTGTCATAGAACAGGCAGTTTTGCCCATCTATTGAGGTCATAAGTCAGGATACATCTGCTTTTAAAGGAGAAACCATAAGTAACAAGTGGTGAAAGGTCTATATTTCGTTTTCTATTAAGTGTAATTTAGATAAACAACAGCATATTATTCTTTGAAACTATTCATGGTTCACAATATGTCTTTTTTATTCCTCCCAGTATCTTATCCCTGGGCAATTCTGCTTCTCACAAAGCTTAAAGGTCTTTGTGTCTGGTTATCAAACATATGGCTGAGAGATGAAGAAATATGTGTTTCATGTCTTGCTGTTTATTGTGTTCATTTAGACAAACTGTGGGAGCACTCAGCCCTCCAGAAATGGTTAAACTTCAGTTTCTGGAAGCCTAGCTCACATTGCTGATAGTAAGGAGTGCTAAGAGTTGCATTTCTATAAGAGCTGGAAGGCTGAGGAGGCCCAACTTCTGGTGGAGACCTAAACATAGAAGGGGGAATTATTTTGTTTCCCCAATCATGGAGAATACCAAGCTAAAGAATCTTCTTTTCTCACATTTGGATAATATTCTTAGTTGCAAAGAACATTTTCCAAATAATGATTCAAAAGAGTCATTATTTAGTAGTCCTGCATTTTGTTGTTGGAATTAGACCATAGAGTCATATTGATGTGGGTTGAGGTAGTGGTGCCCTCTTGCTCATAAGGGCTTGTGTTAATTCTCCAGCACAGTGCTTTCTCTCAATTTTCCAACTTTCTCCATGTATCCACGTACATGAGCATTTTATCTGAGATCTTCATTTGTTTTCAGGTTCTTGTTTATTGTTGTTGATACTCATTGCTTACTACATATGTGGAGGGAAACTAGCATTCCTACTTCCAAGTGAAAACCTTCCAAACCACTATTACAATTGTTGTTGATTGTGGTAATTTTGATAGGGATTTATAGGGTGGTCATACTGGCATCTCCAGTCAGCTCACCTTCACCTAATATGATTTGTTATTCTCAAATCATTGAAGCAATTGGGCCACCATAGAGTTTAGTCATCTTTATACACCCCCCCCCCTTGACTGTGTTGTGCATGTCATGCAGTTACATGTTTGTGTACTGCCAATGTGTCTTGTAATAAATAAGTTATTCTTCATACTGTTCTATTCTTGCTACAGATATCAAAGCTTGTGAAGCAAATGTGTGGAGTTGAACAGGGAAATGAAACATTTTCCACACATGGACTTTTCAAACAATTTTGGAAACAGCATAGATGAACTAATGCTTTTCACTACTTCCCACATTTTAATTTTTTTTAAATCTCAAGTTCTCTCTATCATTTTTTTTAAAGAAATGTTGATTTTTACAGGTTTAATTGTCAAACATCTGCACTGGTCTAATCCCTTCAAAGTGCCTTATAGTACACTTCAGCCCACACAAAGCAACAGGAAAAAGCAACAAGTAAATTCTACTTATTATTACATGCAAAAGTAGCCTCAGTGACAACTGATAGGTTTTGTGTCAATGGAACAGTTTGTCTGCTTTAGCTTTCAGTCTGAACTTTAATATACTATAAAAAGAACTATTCAGCATTGTGCCTTCACTGATCCCAAAAGTCATTGTAATGTATAATGCATTATTTCTAGAGTCTCAGTTATACAGACCTAAGGAAGGAAGTGGTGTAGAGTATTACTAGGTCCTTCTTTGTTTACAGCAGTGGTTCTCAACCTTCCTAATGCTCCAACCCCTTAATACAGTTTCTCGTGTTGTAGTGACCCCCAACCATAAAATTATTTTATTGCTACTTCATAAATGTAATTTTGCTACTGTTATGAATCATAATGTAAATATCTGATATACAGGATTGTATTTTCATTCACTGGACCAAATTTGGCACAAATACCCGATATACTAAAATTTGAATACTGGTGGAATTGGGGGGATTGATTTTGTCATTTGGTAGTTGTAGTTGCTGAGATTTATAGGTAACCTACAATCAAAGAGCAACGATGAAATTGAACCAGACTTGGTGCACATAACTCCATAACTAATAGAAAATGCTAGGAGGGTTTTGTGGGCATTGACCTTGAGTTAGAATTGTTATTCACCTACATCCGGAGAGCACTGTGGACTCAAAAAATGATGTATCTGGACCAAACTTGGCACAAATCCTCAATATACCCAAATGTGAACACTGGTGGAATTTGAGGAAAATAGACCTTGAGATTTGGGAGTTGCAGTTGCTGGGGTTTATAGTTCATCTACAATCAAGGAGCATTCTGAACCCCACCAACGATAGAATTGGGCCAAACTTTCCACACAAATCCCCCATGACCAACAGAAAATCCTGTGTTTTCCAATGGTCCTTGGCGATCCCTCTGACACCCCGGTCCTGACTCCCAGGTTGAGAAATGCTGGTTTACAGGAAGCCACATCCAGTCTCCTATTCTTAGAAGCTGACACTACTGTGTGGGTAAAACCCTTGGCAATGAGTAAGACTAAGTTCTACAGCTGAAGTTAATTAATTCTAGAGATCCAATTTGTAAAGGCTTATTTAAATTCCAAAGAAGAGTTGTGAAAAGGTGGTTAGGCGGAGGGAGTAAAATTGGAGATTCTTTAATTAGATCTTTCTCTTGATATAACCTGAAAGCAGTTTCAGTCATTCGTATGAGGAGACATTTTTTACAACTGGTTTGCAAAACAGTGTGGGTCATCCCAGGAAATTCATATAATGAGTGTGAGGAAGAAATGAAATCAGTGGAGAAAAAAAATTAAAAAAATATTTGGATACTCAAGAGAAAGGTTAGGAGAAAAAAGCATCTGAGAGGGAGAGAGGAACCCAACCAATAATCAAAGGGATAAACTTGCTTTAGGACAGCTGGGAGGCATCTGCCAATAGCATCTGGCAATAATGAAGCAAGACTACAACCCAAATCAATGGATTGAAATTACAACAAAGAATATGCCACGGAAACATTAGGAAGAACCCATTTCCTTTAAGAATTGTTTAATAGTGGAATAGATTGCCTTAGAAAGGAGTGAACTCTTCTTCTCTGAAGATCTTGAAACAGAAATTGTGTATTCTTTAAGGTAGATGGTCTTGGCAACTTTTCAGCTGTAAGGTTCAATTATTCTTAATGATGCATCTGCACTGTCGTAATACAGTTTGACCCCACTTTAACTGCCTTGCCTCAGTGCTGTGGAATCATGGGAGTTATGGTTTGGTGAGGCACCAATACTCTTTGGCAGGGGAGAGTAAAGATTGTAAACTACAACTCCCATAATTCCATAGCATCAAGCCATGGCAGTTAAAGTGCAGCCAACCTGCATTCATTCTATCTACAGTATTGATCAGTGGTTTAAAACCTTTTTTTGACCAGAGCCCACTTGTTCAGGGACCACTTTGACCAGGGACCACTCTCCAACATTAGTACCAAAAGGCACAGGGCTGGTCAGCTCTGCAGAAAGGAGCAGAAACAAAACAAAATAAAGAGGAAGGAGGTTTGCTGATGAGATTTTTGTTCTCGCAGACCACTGCTGGGCCACAGCCCACAGGTTGAGAACCACTGGTATAGATGCATCCTTGAGTGGACTACAGGTGTGAATTGGAATAACCTGCTCTTTGATTTTCTTGCTCATTTATAGGATGCAAAAGAGATTCTGGTATCTTTTCTTTAGCCAACCTAAGTCAGAGGTTGGACTACAACATTTAAAAAGTACTATGGAAGAATAAATGAGAACCAAGACTTTTGCAGTGTTTGTATGGATTGAACTGTATGTAACAATATCAGACACATAGGGTCTCATCACATTAATTAGAGGATTCGCCATGGATTGTGGCAAATTCAGTGGGGCCCGGTGGGGGGCGAGGGAAACCCCACGCTCCACACCCCACATTGCCCATCTTGCCACTTAGCCCATTCCACTGAGGTAAGCTTCCGCTAGCCAGCTTCCCCCTGTTGTTCTTATGCAACTCAGGAAGCCTCCCGTGTTGCCACTGCAATGGCTTATGATGCTCCCTCTTCACTTGCATCATGGAGCCCCGCCAAAGTAGATCTCTATGTGGTGGGATGGGAGCCAGTGGGCTCTGTGACTGAAGAGGGGTGAAATTTTGCCTGTCTGATGAGGCCCATAGACAGAATGTTTGTTAGGTTCATGATGGCCCCTGAAGCACAAATTATTAAATAATCTTCATGTATAATTATCTGAGCCTCATGGTCAGAGTCATGCAGAATCATGGTCAACCCTACTTGTGTACCTTGTTATCTTTCATATGTTATGCCAGGTTTAATAATGAGTTAGTGATAGAAATGCTCACTATGCACTTACCTGGAAGTAACTCTCATTAGTCTTAATCTAGGTTATTCCAGAATAGATTTGTCTAGGACTGCATTGTGAGTCATCCTTTTATGAAATCCCACTTCCATTCTGTAGAGCTGCTCTAAGCTGGAGATTTGTATTTGGTGAATTTTAATTAAAAGAAACATACATTCTAGTTT